TGTTCATATTCTCTCTCTCTACCAAATTTCTGGCCTCTTCGTCTTCGTTATCTCTTCTTCTGTCACTACTCACTTCACTGCTAGTGGAAAGCTACAAGTTACTGCAAGTGTAAGCATCGATTTAGGGATCTGAAGCATCTTCCTGTGTCTTCGATTCTTCGATTGCTCAGAGTCTGAGCTTTCGATTGATTCTATTTCAAGCTGCTGAATCTGGTAATATGTGAAGAATTAGGTCTCGATTAAGCCTTTTGCGATCAATTTCCCCACGAGATTTCAACTTGCTTTGGGGTCTTTGTCTGTGTTAATCCACCGATTTTCGTAGATTTGAGGAATTGGGATTTAATGGTTCTCTTTCTTCTACCTTAGGTTTTTGTGTTTGTTGCTTACTGGGTTTCTTAGGTTTCTCACTATTGGAATTTGACTGTGTAGATCTGTTGATAAGGTCGAAAATTGTAAGGTTACTGTTGGAAATGGATCTTGACTAAGCCTAAGTGAGAAGATGATCACATTGATTTTTGAAACTAGTATGGTATTGCTAAACTAATCTGGATATTCTCTTTCGTATCATCAGTGAGATGATATGTAAATTCTTGTTAGAATTTTGGATTTTGGTGATGTTTATCTTTTTGTATCTTCACTTTACCCATAAGCCTGTTATCAGAATGTTCGTTGAAACCCTAACACTGGGTTTTATTGTTGTAATCAGATCTTTTCAGCTGCTTCTCTGTATTGGTCAAACATCAATGGGATAAAAAAATGACGTTTATATTGGGACTTGTTTTCATTTGTTGACCTCTGTTGGGTCAACCAATTATGATCTCTGAAGTGGTCAAAAGGATAGTTACTTTGTAGTGTGGTGGAACAAGATCTTTGAAGAGAGTTTTTAGTGTGTCTCCTGGTTCGTGTAAAGATCATGCCTTGGTGGAGTAAACATTCATCTAAAGATGAAAAGAAGAAAGCTAACAAGGAAAGTATAATCGATGCATTTAATCGGAAATTGGGGTTCGCGTCTGAGGATAGGTCTAATGGTCGATCAAGAAAGTCACGAAGACGACGCGATGAAATTGTAGCTCAAAGAGGAGCTATATCTCGGTTACCATCAAGATCTCCGTCTCCTTCTACTCGGGTTTCACGATGTCAGAGTTTTGCAGAAAGGTCTCCTGCTGTACCTCTTCCTCGTCCTACTGTCCGTGCTACTGTAATGAGCACTGATTCGGGAATGAATGGATCACAGAGACCAGGTTCAGATGCAAGTCTGAAGTCATCATGTCTGCCACTTCCGAAGCCCCATGGTGCTTCCAGCGCGCCTGATAATACCGGTGCTGAGGCTGATTTTACCACTGCTTCTGTGTCTAGTGGAAGTTCTGTGGGTGACATTCCATCTGATTCTCTTCTCAGTCCACTGGCTTCTGATTGTGAAAATGGGAACAGAACAGCAGTAAACATTTCTTCGAGGTGAGTTTAAAGTTTGGTCTCTTTTTCATTGAGCTCTCTTTTTCTTGCTCTCTATGTCTGAACATTTTATTATCCTTCTCTTATGTATAGGGATCAACCCCTGCATAGTAACAAAAACTCAGCTGAGATGTTCAAGCCAGTCCCAAATTTGCCCAACAAAAACCGGATTCTGTCGACATCTCCTAGGCGGAGACCTCTGGGCACTCATGTGAAGAATCTACAAATCCCGCAACGGGATTTAGTGCTCTGCAGTGCTCCAGATAGCTTATTGTCTAGTCCTTCTAGGAGTCCAATGAGATCCTTTGTCCCAGATCATGTCTCAAACCATGGGTTGTTGATAGGCAAACCGTATTCAGATGTGTCCTTGCTTGGATCTGGACAGTGCTCAAGCCCAGGTTCAGGTTACAACTCGGGTAATAATTCCATTGGGGGAGATATGTCTTCTCAGCTGTTTTGGCCACAAAGCAGGGCTAGCCCTGAATGTTCTCCTGTACCTAGTCCAAGAATGACAAGTCCTGGTCCTAGCTCCAGAATACAGAGTGGTGCCGTTACACCTCTTCATCCTCGAGCTGGAGGATCAACGACTGGGTCACCTACTAGAAGACTTGATGATATCAAACAGCAAAGCCACCGTCTGCCTCTCCCGCCATTATTAATCTCAAATACTTGTCCGTTTTCGCCCACATATTCAGCAGCAACATCACCGTCTGTCCCCCGAAGTCCAGCAAGGGCAGAGGCTACAGTAAGCCCTGGATCGCGATGGAAAAAAGGGAAATTGCTGGGGATGGGCAGTTTTGGACATGTGTATCTTGGTTTTAACAGGTTCGTAACTAAGCTAGTCTGACTCTAATACGCAAGATACTCTTTTTGTCCCGAATTTTATGTTGGCTATGGAAAGGATGTCACTATTAAGATCATTTTGGTATAAATTATCTTTCATATGATGGTTAAGTTTCTTGGTGCAAATCTCAGTTTATATGGTTGCAATAAATTGACATATGATTGAATAGGAGAAGTTATAAGTTACACTTCTATGCCACTCCTATTTGACCAGCTATGTTTTCTTCCTCAGTGAAAGTGGTGAGATGTGTGCAATGAAAGAGGTCACTCTATGCTCAGATGATCCAAAGTCAAGGGAGAGTGCACAACAATTAGGCCAAGTGAGTTTGCACATCATCATCTGTTTAGAACAATGAAAAGCTGCTCTTTTGGTGCATTTAGTCTTTGAAATCTTCTAACCTTACAGCTTCCTCTTTAATGATTTTCTCTTATAGGAAGTAGCAGTTCTTAGCCGGTTACGACACCCAAATATAGTGCAGTATTATGGCTCTGAAACTGTAAGTTTTGCTGATGCTCTTTGGACATGTTTGTTCTCTGATACGATCAATTGTTTCAGCTGAACTTACTCATGCACATTGCTACACACTGCTCTTTACTTTCTCGTCCGAATACAGATAGATGACAAGCTGTATATATATCTGGAGTATGTCTCCGGTGGTTCAATCTATAAGCTGCTTCAAGAATACGGACAATTCGGCGAGAATGCAATCCGTAACTACACACAACAAATTTTATCAGGGCTTGCTTATTTGCACGCCAAAAATACTGTTCATAGGTGAACCAGTTAATTCTATCCATTCTCCTGATTCCCTCTTTTCCTTGTTCCTTCTTTAATTAGAGAATTAAGCGTGTGGATTTTAACTTTGTTCAGGGACATCAAAGGAGCAAATATATTGGTGGATCCCCATGGTCGCGTAAAAGTGGCTGATTTTGGGATGGCAAAACATGTATGAATATGTTCTCTGCAATCTTGTGGCCTTTTTTGTTTTCGTTTCGTTATAAATTTTGCGTCAAGCAGAAACGACTGATCAGTTATATAGTACACTAAACCCAGCTCGAAATGTTGCAAATTAATAGAAATTCATGCACAAAATGCAGATCACTGCGCAATCTGGTCCTTTGTCATTCAAGGGAAGCCCATATTGGATGGCACCTGAGGTCAGTATGCTGCTATATTCGTGGGTATCATGTTGAGAGGCTTTATGCTAATGCTTTATATCTTGCTTGGATTTCAGGTGATAAAGAATTCAAATGGCAGCAACCTTGCGGTCGACATATGGAGTCTCGGATGTACCGTTTTAGAAATGGCTACTACGAAACCTCCATGGAGCCAGTATGAAGGGGTTAGTAAATCATAAGCACTCAAAGAAGCATGAGATTTTAAGATGTAAATCATTCATTCCTCATACATGTTAATTCTTTTTTTAGGTTCCTGCTATGTTCAAGATTGGAAACAGCAAGGAGCTTCCGGATATCCCTGATCATTTATCTGAAGAGGGGAAAGATTTTGTGAGAAAATGCCTACAAAGAAACCCTTCAAATCGTCCTTCAGCTGCTCAGCTTTTAGATCACGCTTTTGTAAGAAACGCAATGCCGATGGAAAGGCCTATTGTGAGTGCCGAGTCTGCAGAAACAATGAATGTACCTTCAAGCACCATGAGATTACTGGTATTAAACTTCGTGTTCCCTATTTCTAAATTTTCTATGCTTCTGATTGCCTGACAAATTTGTCTGTTTCAGGACATTGGACACGCTAGGAGTCTTCCGTGCTTAGACTCGGAGGATGCGGTCAGTTACCAGCAGAAAGGATTAAAACCTGGCTTGGGATTCAGGTATCCATTAGCCATTCCGTTTCTACCTTTATTTCCAAGCATCAAACCATCTTTGTGGCTCAAATTTCCTCCTTTTGGTCACAGTATATCGCAGTCTCCTAGGAACATGTCGTGCCCGATTTCACCAGTGGGTAGTCCAATCTTTCACTCGCATTCACCACACATCAGCGGAAGAAGATCTCCATCCCCAATATCTAGTCCCCACGCTCTCTCCGGTTCATCAACACCTTTAACAGGTTGCGGTGGAGCCATCCCGTTCCATCACCAAAGACAAACTACAATCAACTTCTTGCAAGAAGGCATAGGATCTAGCAGAAGCCCTGGGAGTGGCGGAAACTTCTACACCAACAGTTTTTTTCAGGAGCCTAGACAGCAAGATCGGCCGCGGAGTAGTCCAAGGACGCCTCCTCATATATTTTGGGACAACAACGGTTCGATCCAACCAGGCTATGGTTGGAACAAGGACAACCAGCCAGTCCTATCTGATCATGTGTCCCAACAGCTCTTAAGTGAGCATCTGAAACTGAAGTCCCTCGACCTGAGACCCGGTTTTTCAACTCCCGGTTCGACAAACAGAGGACCCTAACCCGTCGAGTCAAATGATTCGACACCAATGACAGAACCAAAAGACCCAATGGGAAAGAAGAACAAATTCAAACAAATAGCTGCAGAGACTCCTCCTGGATTTCGGAATTGCAACACAGCCTGAAGGGTCAGGATCTCAGAGCCGTGAGTCGAAACCCTGAAACATTGGCTAATACCAAGAGATGAGGATTCGTTTTATTGTTTCTGGAAAATTTGAAGAGCTCTATATCTTGTTTCTCTCTCTATTTCTCTGAGGATAAATCTGAGTTGAGAGAGAGGGAGATCAACAAAAAATTAATTTTGTGTATAGGAAGGTGTGGTGGTAGAACAGTTAATCAAATCTTTCACCTAATTTATCTCTTTCCCTCTTTCTGATGTCTTTGTTTGGTCTGATTTGTTTCTGTTGGGCAGAAGAAGAAAAAAAGAGGGCAAAAGCTTAAATCATTTAAAACCTAAACTATTTGATGTAACCTATCTTTATTACAAGAGAATCCCAAATTAGATCATATATAACCCATTCTTTCTTTTTTTCTTCGTTTTGACCCCTGCTTAAATTAAATCATTGATTGATCCCTGCTTCTACTATTCTAAATTATAGACTTGAGATTTAAACACAACACATATTTTTTTTTTTTGTCGACAAACACAACACATATCTATCTATTAATTGATAATACTGTACTTTAAAATAATCAGAGTTCAAAACCTACAAATAAAACCAACGCATCTACATCCCAAATTTTAGAGGAAAAAGGAAGATGAAATTTGATTAGAGGAAAATCGAGTCAGCAAGAATTACAAATTCGTCCACACAATGATGAGAGCTTAGAAAGTTTTTCTACGTGTATATACACATTTTGTGTTTGTTTCAACACTCATTTTTCTTACAAAAGAAACAAACCAAATATAGACAGAACGATCAAGTGTTCTTCAATAAAGATGATGCAAGTAACTAACATAAAGAAGCATTGATTTAAAAAAAAAAAAAAAGATTGAAGAGAGATTCTTACAACTTACGTTACATTTTGGTTACAAACCCAAAGATCC